ACACAAGAAAACTCGCCCGAAAACTGAAACATCTCTTTTCGACCCGAAAAAAAGACAACTGTTATTGCCGGGCTTGACTGATGAGGCAGCGCTTCGCGGACCCCTACAATGCCTTCGCGGACCCCAAAGGGTCCGCGGACCCCCATTTGAGAACCACTGCCTTAAATTAATTAAGATTTGATTGACTTTGAGTAGGCCATGTTTATTGAATAATGGTCCGGTGGGGAGATCTTGGGCGTTATCTTTATGGTTTTCAAAAAGTCGTAGAACTTTTTTCTGTAGGACGGCCAGTCTATTATAATTTGTGGTCGATGTCATTCCCAGACTAAAATACAGTAATACAGTTTTTAGGAAAATAGTGAGTAATACATTTTTTTTTTAGCCAAAGGGGTATAATATTTTGTATCTTGTATATACATTTAACGGCTCTAGATAACTCGGTGCTTAGCCTGTTTATGCGAGTATTCCAATCTAATTCGCGATTGAACCCTACGCCGAGAAATTTTTGCTCGCTAACCTTCTCCTGTAATCTCATTCTTAAAACATATAATCACCTTAGTGTTGTCGAGTTTATTTACAGGATAGAAAATTATAGATTTTGCTCTCTTTGCATTTAGTTTTAATTTATTGTTTTGAAGCCATACGAGATATGCTTCAAATAGCTAAATAAAGACCGAAAGAATAAACACAGAGACGGACATAGAGAGGTGCTGTTCTGTCCGTCCCTATGTTTATTCTTTCTGTTTTTATTTAACTTAACCAACGCGCTCACGTCGAACTAAATTCAAATAGCTGTTTGTCATTGATTCTAGGGATGCTTCAGAAGCTGAAGTAAAAATGCATTAGTATCGTTCGCGTACATGATAAGCTCCGGGGATTTTAGAACATTTGTGATATTGTTAACGTAAAGAAGGAATAATGAGGTTCCTAGTATAGACCCCTGTGGAACCCCGTGCTTATTTTTGAGTATAGTTGAGCAAACGTTATTGGTGTGTACGAACCGCGAGCGATTTTCAAGGTAGTTTTTATAAAGGTCAAGGCAACCCAACGTATGCCATATTGTTGAAGTTTGATTGGTAGTAAGTCGTGTAGAATAGTATCGAATGCTGTTTTAAAATCTAGGAACAGGCCTAAGGTGTGCAGTTTATTTTCAATGTTATTTATAATTTTATCTTTTACCTCAACTAGTGCTTCTTCTGCTGATTTTGATTTTTGAAAGCTGCATTGACATTTATTTATTACACCGTGTTTAAACAAAAATTCCTCTGGCCTAATGTTTATAACCCCCTCAAATAGTTTTAAAACAATAGGCAAAACCGAGATTGGTCTGTATTTCTGAAGAGGTTGTGCTCCTCCTTTGTAGACCGGGGTAACTCCTTAGTTCGTCTGGAAATATACCAGTTTCTAAAGTGCGATTTATTATATGTGAAAAGAGTTTACTCAGTTTCGAAGACTGGCGTCTGGTGAACCAACGTTAATAAAGTGCATATTCATCAGATTCGTCATCACCTGGACACTTAAGTTTTCTTCCATTGACAGCAATATGTTGTATACCTTGAACACGTCTCTTCCTATCAGTGATTGTGTTTACAGTTTCCCATATCTTTCGAGGGTTATTGTACACACTTGAAAATATACTTTGATAATATACTGACTTTGCATTCTTGAGATCAGAATTCATTTTATTCCTTGCTTCTTTTTTTTTTTTTTTGCTTTTTTGCTTTTTTTAAAATGGTGAGAAGGTTTTTGTCTCTACAGTTCACGAAATTGTGGTACATCTTATACTTTTTCTTAATTCGTCTATATAAGCCTTTGGTGATCCACTGCTTTCGGACTTTATTTTTACGCCTATTTTCTTGTATAAGGGAAAATGCAGTGTCGTAGCAAATCTTAAATTTTCGAGAAAAGTTTGCGCAAGCAAGGTTTGGGTCGCGTTCTAAAAGAACGCTTTCCCATCGCGTTTGATGGATCAAAACGCGAAAATTCTCCTGTGGTTCGTCGTTTATTCGTCGGTGGGAGTATATTTCACGTTCAGCTGTATTTTTGTCCCGTGAGAAAGGTGTTAAAGAAAAACCGGGCATGCGGTCGCTGATATCATATGTAAATTAGAGTTGATTACCCGTCCCGCGACTCGCGGGACTGTCCCGCGTTGGGGGCTTGTCTCCTGCGTCCCGCAAAAGATATCAAAGTCTTCACAATTTCCCGCATTTCACAATGTCGTAACACTCACTACGCAGCTCATGGCGCTGCCAAACAACGGGACACGGGGAAGCGCGGAGGTTGCTGTTGAACGTGTCAATCGCGACGGTACACTATTTTCTATCCAAGCACTCTGGCAAGCGACCGTCATTCTTGCAGGAGATCTGACGCGCATGCGTCGTTGTGCCTCTCTTCCCTTGGTGGCAAAACATTGCAAAAGACAATTGCTCACCAAAAGTTCAAAATAAACTATTTGAATTATTTTCAAATCGTGCTGCATGAATGCGAAAAGGTTTTCGTGGAAAGTTTTTGTTTTCTTTTTTTAGTAAAGACGATAACACAAGGCAAGGAGACTGCAACTCACAACGGTCAAAAACAACAACGTGAGATTCGAAATTTGTGTCGGAGCATGTTGTTAAAAATACGAATCGAAAGGGAACGAGAATCCGTTAAAGATTTACTGCTTCTTCTATCCTTCTGACGCATTGAGTTCTGTTGCACTCGATTCTATGTTTTCAACTCAGGCAATGTCACTTGTAGTGACAAATTATTTGAGCTTAATTGTCGCAATAATATTTGCAGCTGTATGATATGCTTTCAGACAAGACAGGACATCAAATGTGTTAGCAGAGCCGTATTTCGTGGCGTGTGTTGATAAATTTCCTCGAATAGTTATCTTTTCCATGTGTTTTTTTAACCTGAGACTGGGGCAGAAGGCGGAAAAATAATTTTACTACACCTGCCCCAGTCTATTGGGTGAAAAGGCAGCGTGGTAAATTTCCATTAGCCCGACTGCGCCTTAAGTTCGTTTTTGCAGTTGCCGCAGCCAAAATATAATACCGTTCTTCTTTTACAACACCCCCCCCCCCCCCCCACACACCAAAAAAAAAAAAAAAATTCAGCGTTTCCCGCATTTCGCTAGCGGGAAGGTGGTCACCCTAGTGTAAAAACACCAGACGTCACTTCCCTAGCGTTGAGGTTTGCCATACATATGTCAATAAAACTTGATGTTTCCAAGGTCATTCGGATGGACAGTGTCACAGTGTTCGAGCAACCGTAAGCGAATAACAGATTATTGAACTCGATTGCATAGCTATCACATTTGGGTGGGTCAATGTTTGTACCGCCCAGAATAAAAAATGGCTTGGGGAACGAACAAAGAAAATTGAGCAAACCTTCTGAATAGCAGAGAAAAACGTTTTTCCTACTAGCAGGGGGTCTACAAGTAACCATAATAGCAACAGTCTCGGCTTGTAAGGCAAGGCACTCGTCGCCAGTTGTAATCATGGAATAACCCTATACAACATACCATGACATATCATTTTTCAAATAGATGGCAACACCCCCTCCTCTTTTACTTTGTTGACCCAAACTGGCACATTTATAATCACTAAAGTAAGGTGGCTCAGCCAGGCACGTAGCCAGGGGAGAGGGGGCCCAAGAGGCCCGGCCCCCCCCCCCCCCCCCGAAATCTTCCATTTCGCTGGGACCTCCTCTCACCCCTCCCCCTCATACAGCATTTTGTCATGAGTGGGCCCCCCCCCCCCCCCCCCCCCCGCCCCCTAAGACAAAATCCTGGCTACGTGACTGGGCTCAGCATGATCTGGAACTCAAGTTTCCGAAAAAAGTAGTGCGTCAAAGCGAATATTCAAAGAATCAAAGAATTCTATTTTGCTATGTTATAAACTTAGTTCCTTTAGAAATTAACGCATGCTATATGTATATGGGTGTAATCATTACGTCGAACTTAAGTTGGTCTGGTCATTTTGTTATCATTATAGCGAATGCTTTCTGTAAACGGTGGTTTTTAGAAAATAATATGTTATTGTACTGCAGAAACGAAGCTCGCGGCTTACATATCTTTTATTTGTCCACCATTGGAATATGCATATATTTTATTGGACCCGCATTCTCAGATATTGATCAACTGGAAGGCGTTCTGAAGAATGCACTTCGATTCATTTATAACGCATACAACAGTGAAACGTCCATATCATGCTCGTATGCCTCATCCGCATTACCACAGTTATTATGTTGAAAGAAAATCAAACGCTTGGAATTTCTGTATAATCTAATACACGATAAGTTTGGGTCAAATTTCAACGACTATCTGAAATACAATGGCAGCCGTAACACACGGCGGAAGCAAAAAAAATTGCTTGGCGAGTTTCAAAATAAAAGAAGACATTTTTAAATCCTCCTTTTTTTATAGAGATGTTTGTCATTAGCATGAATTGCCTCAAAGCGTCACAAGTTTTGTTGCCTATGATTGTTTCGCTAGAGCTTTAGACGATACTGTATATAAGTGAATATATGTGAAATAACCGTTATTTTTGTATAGTTTAAGATATGAAATTTCGTATTGTATATTTTTACAATGTCAGCCCTACAACTGTGCATGCAATCATGCCTTGGCCCATAAGAGTGGGGCGGAAGTACTTTCGAAAGAAAGAAAGAAATAGTGGCAGCGGTGTTTAGACGCACTTTGATATTACTTTGCAACATTGACATAGTTCCACTTCCGCCCTTGACGCATTTTTTTTTATTATTTCCTTCTTGGAAATTTAAGTCCTGGTGAACCTTGAACGACCCTTTTATATGAATTAATGTTTACTATTTGAAAATTAATACTTTTTAAAACTAATTAAAGAGATATATAACCATAACGCCAGGTACCTCACTAAATAGGCCGCCTGCAAGTTACTAATACGGAGTAAGTTTTATACTATGCCACGTGTTGCTTTTAGGCGAAACTTTCCGCCGGCGTTTCGAGTATGGTCAGCATGAAAGTGGAAACGTACCACGATAAGACCGTCTTCTCCGGAGCTTTGCAGTGTGGCGCCGAACCACTGGTGAGACTTGTCGTCAGACCGCTCCAGGCGCCTTCCGACGGGCGTTTCCGTGGAACCTGCATAAGACGGAGGCCCGGCATCTGTATATATGAGAAACTTTTACATTAATTTTACTTTCCTCATTCTGCGATGTTTAACAGAATCACTCGAATGACCGAAGTTATTTAAAAGTCGCTACTCATATCCAAAGGGGGACAAATGTATGAAGTAAATAGCAGTGCAGATTCTTAAAAAAATATATCGCAGTGAGAAATATTGCCAACGAGGAAGTTGGGCTTCACATGTGTAATCGGCAATTCATCTAACTAGCTGTAAGACATCTCCACGCGATTGTTTAAGGAAACTAAAACTGAGAACTATTGTGTGCACATGAGGAGAAATGAATGTGTGAACATATACACATTTCCAGCGTTTATCACCGAGACGCAAAGCTTCAATTGTCACTGGGCCGCGGACGCATGATATATCCCACAAAACAGCTACTGGGCAGTGGGCATCTTCAAAACGCGTTCCACAACCCATGACCTGCATTCTTTAAAAAAACGAACTCCAAAGGGAGTCGCTCCTTCCATGACTTTCTTTTACACTTGACGACCCTCTTAGAGAGTCAATGATTTGTGTGACTTTGTTTTGACTATTTCACTTCTCAACAGGAGTCACAGACAAAGATGACAACGCGCAGAAGGCAATTGTTAATGGTGTACAGGGCGGTTTCACGGAACTGTTTTCCCATTCCGGTAAGCCACCTTCTCTAGTGTTGATGAACAGCCTCCACCCCTAGTTTGATTACAGACGCTCAGTTATTGGCGTTGTTTTTGGTGGTGCTGAAACGCACCAACATGGCGAGTGGTTCTTTCAACTACAGAACTAAGCAAGTACGACCGGGAACGTTTTTGGGGCTGCAAAAACCAATGCTTACTGTGTTGTCGTTTTTTGTTTTTTTTTCGCTTTCTTTTTTTAGGTTTTAAGGCCGCATTTTCTGCACTCACTTTTGACCCGGACAGGTCGACTTCCCGATCTGTGGCTTGTCTTAAGTCCGACTGCAAATCCAGTTCATTTTAGCCCCAGACATTAAAGGTACAAAACTTGAAAGTATAAAACAGAGAGTACGAGGACGGGAACAGGACATCTTTCAAAAATGTCCTGTTCCCGCCCTCGTCCTCTCTGTTTTATACATTCAAGTTTTGTATCTATTAATCAACACGATCGTTTTCAATTGTAACATTAAAGGTTTTTCTGTGTGTGTGTGTGTGTGTGTGTGTGTGTGTGTGTGTGTGTGTGTGTGTGTGTGTGTGTGTGTGTGTGTGTGTGTGTGTGCGTGTGTGCGTGTGTTTGGGTGTGTGTGAGTGTATTACTGCCTTCATGGCTGGCCGTGCTGTATTTTGTACAGTTACAATCAGTTGCAATCAAAAGGAAGATGAACACGTGATTGCTGACCGTACGGGCACCATAAAAAAAAAGTTTAGATATTATGCAATCTTGTGCGCAGCAAGGTCGAGGACAGAAGGGAGAACAGGACACAACGAGACGTTGTGTCCTTTTCTCCCTTTTGTCCTCGTCCGTGTTGTTGTGTCCTGTTCTCCCTTTTATCCTCGTCCTTGGTGCGCATAAGATTGCCTAAAATGTCAAACCAACCAGCCCAAACAACCACTCTTCTTGAAAGGTTGAGGTCGACTTTTCTATTTATGGTTCGTCTTAATTCCGAAGAACGACTGACATGTCCAAAAATCTAGTACAAGACGATGCTCTTCTCTGTTACGACCACTATGACTGGCGTACTTAAGCACGACGCCAAATTACATACGCAAGCTTGAAAACGCTGCTTCTGCGATTAGAAAGACATAGGGCAAAGTTACATCAACATAGCGTCCGGTGATATTTTCAGCCGGAAGTACGTCACGTGAAACCGCTTTGTAGGAAGTGCATATCTCACCCAGCTGGTCAAAGGGTACAGTTTGGCAGCTGCCAGCAACCTCCGTGTTGCAGCGGAATACTGCGCCACCTCGGTTCACCCCGGGCTGCTCCGTCTGCGCCTGGGGTGCTCCGACCAGGAGCCTGCAGAGCAAGAGAACAGTATGAAGATTAGAGCAAAATGTGCTAACATGGAAGCTTTCCTTGGCTTAATCGACTAATAGTCAAGTGCACCAACTCTCCAAAAAAAAAAAATGTAGAACCTAACGTTCGTCGTGCCTTACATATTTGTTCCTACAGTGTGTACTTCACCTTAGCGCTATTTATTTGTAAAATTACATATATGTTTCCGATATCTCAATAAATATGAATTATTGACTTTGTCATTTAAATCGTCAAAGCAATGTCAATCGTCAAAGCAATGACCAATGTCATTTAAATCGTCAAAGCACAATGACGCTAAAACTGTAATCTCACAAACAAAATAATTATTAGCAAAGCCAGGACACTAAAGACCGGTTAACACGCACACCGCAACCAGATTTGTGCCCGTTATTTGAAAAATATTGATTGCAATTGCATATTACCGAGCCTCAAATGTAATCGTTTACCGTTACAAAACGCTTTCGCTGGAAATAAACGGATTGCTTGAGTTGCTACGTTACGAATTAGATGCACGTTAATTTTGCCGTACACTTATCAAAAAAAAAATTATGTTTTCTAAAATGCTCCGCAACACTACTTTCCATTTCTCATACACCCACCATTGTGGTAGTAATTGTTAAAATAAAATATTGTATTTAAGAAAAACAATGTAGGTACACTCCTTTTACCTGTAAGCTGACAAGGCAGCGAGAGCTGCAACCACACCCGCCATCCTGCTAGCTTAGGGCGACCGGAAATTATCCCTGAAATTCTACAGACAAAGAAAGCGGTGCGTATGCTCACTAGCAGCGTCTACCTCGGCTGGGAGATTCGTAGGTAAGTAACGTTTAAGCCAGCGCTGCATCAGCGTTGTTCCTAGGGTTCATTTAGTGCTGCGATGTATGTATGATCCGGCTTTTAAACACACACTGTGCTAGTTATGGTCATGGGTATTATAAATCGAGCAAAAATGCAGCCTACCATGGTTTTCCTTGCTTCATTTTCAGTTCTTACAACCACGTCCACCATCAAACTATGGAGCATGACTTTTATTTAGGAACCCAATGTGCCAGTACAAAGAAAGATACTAAGTTAGCTGATATGGAACGTTGTTAAGTTGTCATCAATAGTTAATGGTGGCGGCACGGATCAGTGTATACTCCTGGCGTCATGACAGGATCGGTTTTTGGTACATGCCATCATCTGATTTTGTTCTCAGATGCACGGCCTTTCGAGGGGAAATAGCGGCAGTGACACGGGCATGGTAGCTTTACAGGGCCAACACTGTGCTCAATACGGAAAGTTTCCGAGGAATAAAAAATATTTAGGGAAAGAGTTCAACTTTAGTTTTGGAGGGTCTTATAAGTCCCACCCTATAATAGTTGTCCGGAATATTGCGTTTCTTCAATTATACAGGACAGAAATTGTCAGGATTTTCCATAAGTGGTCTATAGGACCCAATGGGACCAAATACGTCGTGCCTAGGAATAGCAAGTCTACATTTGTTAGTTTTTCAATAGTATTCATTTCTGCAGTTATTCGGCTTATAGATGGGAGGCAAAATGCTGCAAAGCCTGACGAAGCGCCTGAAACTGTTTCAGTAAGAACTTCAGGGAAAATGTGCAAGGTGTGCATGTCCCCACCCTCATAACCAAAGCTGGGCGATTGAACAATTAACCTACCGATTAATAGATTAATCTCTTAATCGCGATTAATTTTTAACCTGTTAATCGGCTAAATTTTGAATAGCCAAAAGATTTATAATTGCTTCTCCACGTATACGTGGTGAAAGCGGCGACAGCTGTACACGTCAAAGGGTACGCGTGGACGAGTACTCTTGTATAAAGGGCAAGCTTTAAGTGAAAGTTTGACCAAAAGTAAACTGGTGGGACGAGATTGGCAACTCCAAACAAGTGCAGGAGGTTACATACACGCGAGTGTCCGTTTAGCGCAGCAAGCACTTTCGTGAACCGTCGAAGAGGCTGACTCTTGCCAGTGAATTACAACAACCCTTTTTGCCTCTGCAGATGAAATAATTATTAGTTTGTGAGTGTTTTTTTTTTTACTCTTCTCAACCACACATCTAGGTTTATTCATGATCGAAATTGTACATTGCACCGTTTATCCAATACACAGCACAGGAAAAAAGTAAAATTTGACTTCGTAAAATATTATGCCTGAAAATCAACGAAACCGGTTAATTGAATCCTTATTCAATTAAAGGTTGGCGATTAATGGGGTGAAATATTTTTAAACTACGATCAGTCCTAGTAATAACTCATTCACCCCTTGATACTAGCTATCAAGGCTAGTCATACGTGCAGGCAACCATGGTTGTACACATTTTTGTTTACTGACTGACTGACTGCTGAGAATAGATGTCATATCACAAACAGCCAGCTACGGTTTTCACACCGAGGATCGTTATGACCAGATTTTATCTTAAACAGGAAGGATGCATCATATGTTTCATACATTCGCACATTCATCTCTGTCTAATATTTAAAAAGATCGTCTCCGTCTGCACGTTTGTTCACTTTTTTTTTCATAAGATTTAAGAACGCGTGCTTTTCGCTTCCTTGTTTTTACTTATTTACTCAAAATAAAAGCAAACGCTTAATTGTGAATAACTTTTTTTTTCCACGCACGAATGTATGTATTATTTAGTTCTTTATTCTATTCAAGCAAGGGCACCAAGATACGGAAACAAAAAGCATGCGAAAAATGTCCGTAATTTTACCAAACTATACTCCGTTTCAGCATGCCTTTTCAAATCTACAGCTCCAGGGAACGAATGACAGCGTCCGATCCAGCCACGCGACAGCAGCCCACCAGACTTCACTTCCGATGGTGCGTTAATTGTTCCGAGCCTCAGTGTGGTTCAACTGAACCCCAGCTTCCGCCCTTTGCCAAGTTGCGCTGAAACAACACATTCTCCCCTTCTCCGAATCCAGATGTTCTAACTCTTTTCATTTAGAATTCATTAGACAAACACCCGACAAACACAGTCAACTACTCCTTGTTATCAACCTTTCGTACGGTTGACGTCCCGAGCGGTGTATACAAATGTCCGGGTCGACCAGGGCCGGATTAAGGTACCGGCTAAGGGGGCTGCAGCCCAGGGCCCCGACTCTCTGAAAGCTCCCATGCGCAGCTCGTAAAAAAAAAAAAAAAACCGAAACCTAGAAATATTTTGGAAAGCAATGTTGTTTTGCCGCGGCATTCGAGAAGAGGGATATACAAAGATGTATAATGGCGATGTCAGCGAGGCCGAAGGCGCATTTCGCGTAGCACACTCCTATCCCTGTACAAAGCCGGCCCTTTGGGTGAGTGACCGGCCCCCTAAGGCCAGTTCACACTTGCGACTTGGGGCAGTCTCTGGAGCGACTAGCGACAAGCGGCTGGCGACCACCAGTGTTCACACCTGATTGAGCGACCGACGAGTCGCCAGGCTCGCTGCCAACTTAACGGATAGTAATCAACACTTTTTCAAGCCGGCTGAAAGGATTTTCTGATCAAAGGCGCCGGCAGGAAAAAACAAGAGAACGTAATGGTGCTTCGGAACGTAAAACAACGGCTATATGTGCGCTCCCTCAACCGTGATATTGTACGTACCTGCCATGCCGAAAATGTTGTCGATCTCATTTTAAGCCTGCAGCTTTTTGCCCCGATCCTTGTGGTTGGGGTGCCGCTTATTGTAAAGAAACAAATAGTCTTTGACAGCCTTAATAAGAGCTTCCGCGGAGAACTCCATGCCAGTGACCGCCGTCGTGCGCGCGTCCCTATTCCCCGCGGGAAGCAGTGCCGGATGTAAACAAACGCAAACATCACTTCCGACGAGACTCTGCAGACTCTGATTGGCTCCACCGTCCAGCGACTCGGTTTTGCGACTTGAGAAATCGGTCAGGGAGCGACTGCTCAAAATCGGTCGCTACCGACCTGTTTTCCATCCGAGCGCAGCCAAAGCTACGTGTGGCCGGAGCCAATCACACGCCGGCAATAGGTCACGCGATCTTGCCTGCACTTTTGTATCACTCCGCTGCGCCGCCGGTCGGCCGCGCCGCCCGCGCTAGCCGAGTATTTCGTCTGCTACGGGTGTATCAACGATATCGTCTGCTACAGGTCTAAAAAGTGCCCTTTCACGTTCTGAAACTTAGTCACAGGGGATGTCACTACGTAGGCTGGCCGCTGGCATCTTTGTCCGAGCTTTCCACCTGTTCGGCATAGTTTCCAGTGTTGAAAGGTCCCCGATGACCCGGCCATTGATGTTTCCTTGTATTGTTTGGATATACCAGAGCTCGAGGCGCAGTCCTTTCCACCAGCTTCTCGGCGTTCAATGTGATCGGCAGATAAAGGGGTGCCCTGATTTCGCCGCGTATCTGAGTTGTAGTGGCCCGGACGCTTTGTTTGTTTACAACGCATTCGCGGTACGACGCGGCCGGAGTCTTCTGCCGAATTTGAAAGTAGACATTCATCACGACTTCTCGCGCCTGACGCCCAAATGGGCCTTTGCGAAAGGGCGTTTTGAAGCGACTCGGTGAGGAAAGCAGCGAAGCACATGATTCGGCGATTACGGGAACGAAATCGCACAGAAAAACCGAGCGCTGCAGCCGTGTTGCCAGCGGATATACATGTTTTCACTAAACAACATGCATTTACATATATTAATAGAAACATAAACTTCAGATATCTGATCCCTTTAGTTGCAAATCATTTCCAGCAGTACACATCAGGAACATTGTGCAGTTTTTACACACAAAACAGTTATTTTAAAAGAAATTGCTTTTGTGAACTACTTTGTGGTGCGTAGGAATGCTCTTCTCGAAGTTGCGAACCGTCCCTCAGCCTTTGGCTGCGCTCGGACGGAAGCTGAAACGAAGTGTAGCCGCTGGTCGTTCCAGCGACTGTCGTAAGTGTGAACGGGCCTTTAGGTTGCTTGTCCGCTTTCTTTTGAAAGCCGCTTCGAGCAAACGAAGAAAACACGCGAGGGGCCGCATGGT